CAAACCAAATGCTCGGTGGCAGATCCCACAAGCATGGAATCTGTGTTTATGTTTCCGATCTGTGAGTGTAACAGACAGGTCTATAGGACAATTGCCTTCATTGGATATTCATGCCAGATACGGGGAGTCAGTGTTTCCTACCACTGTAGGCTTCTGCTGTAGGAATAAGAGAATACGAGAACTTGAAATCAGATAGAAGTCATACCTGCATCTTGTCTTAGCCTTGCATGCAGGTATTTATTTATAATAAGGAACTGTTATCATTTCACAGGCATATGTATATTATACTATTGCAATTCGGTTGAATTGTGACCATTGCAAACCTCCCCTACCAGAAAAGTGGTTGAAACCCTAAAGCTCAGTTCAGGTTAATGGGACTTTATGTGAAAACAATTTTCTGCAAACATATTCAAGTTCAGATGAGGTTACACTCAATCAGGGCGTGCTCTAACACAAAGTGACTGGTATTTCTATAAGAAGGACAGAGTAGACAGGTGAAGGAGAATGCCATCTGCCTACAGAGGCAGTAGTTGAAATCCTGCAGCCACAACTCAAGGAAATCCCAAAACTGCCAGCAAACAAGCCACCAGAGACTAGAAGGGTCCAAAGATGTATATTCTCCCCGACAGGTTTCAGATGTCCCGCCAATATCTTCGTGTTGGACTTGTGTCCTCCTGACATATGAGACAGTTCATTCCTGCTGTCCTGAGGACAGACCTGGTTAGTGGAGCTTGGTTATCAAGACTAGGAAAATAATACAGCATATGGAAATTCATGTGAAAATGTCTATGTCAACTTAATTCTTCCCTTCTAGGCACAATGCATTTTACACGCTTCTTAGCAGAATCTATGGTTTCTTGGTTCCGATCACTTTCTCTGCATCACTGAGAAGAACAAAATCATTGAGAATCAAGTTCTTGGCTGAGTGATGAGCTGTTTTGTTGATCTCCCAGAAATAACAGCCTATTGTAAACCCTGTGGGAGCCTTCTGGGCACCACGATGGCCTGCAGAAGTCCCTTCTCTCACCCTTACAGCACATGGATAGAGGGAAGAAGCAGAGGTAAGCCCCAAAAACATGTGACAAATTCTACTGACTAGTGCCCTTTGTATGATTCTGGATATTTGGGACCAAGGCCTGATCATGTGGAAGATATAGATGTTAAGAGCCATGCTGTTGCTACAGACAAGCAAGGACTGAGGAGGCTTCTTCAGTAGGAGACAATGGATCTATTGGAACATAAATCTCCCAGGGTTCGACAAAGAGCTACAATCATCATATCTCCTATTTCCTATTGAAAGCTAGAAACATCATGTCATTTATTTGAAGGGGACAGTTGGGGTGGGAGAGTAGTCTTGAGAATCTCAAAGCTTATTACTGGTAGACTTATACTTATGACCCTGGTATTCTGTTTCTTACTTGATTGCATTTTTAAACTTATTTTCTCAAATTCATTATACCCTTCAGCAACACAGCAACAAGAGCCAAAGAAGCAGTGAAAGGATTTAGGAATAAAAGGATAAATGGACCAAGAATCCTAAAGGAAGCATAATAGAGAGGTGACCAGAGCTCCTCTAGGCTCATCATTGATTTTGCTATTAGAAAAGTTACTTTTAAAAATATAGAGTTCTGCAAGTTTCCATACAACATAGCATTTGGGGAAAAATCCTAGAATTTGAATAATCAAGGCTATCTACTTGTTGTTCCGGATTTCCTTTGCTTTGCTAAGGTCTCTGAGTGTCTATAAACCCTAGACTCATTTTCAATAATGTGTTCAAGTTCATAATCTTCTTGACTATTCTGATTCATTCAACAAAGACTGTTTGTGACTCTAGTAAATGCCAGATTCTTTTCCATCACTTTATGAGTTATAACTCTTCTCCAGGTTGTATTTATTATTAAGCTTGCCTCACGGTGCGAAGGGTGAAGGGAGTTTATTTCTAAGAGCAAGCCCAATGATTTTGGTAAAAAACAGAATGATTCCTACGAGGTTGACCTTTATAGGAAGTACAGACTGAGATGCTGATAAAATATTTCTCCACTATACTAAAAAAGTTTGAAAGGGAGTTGTAATGTGAGACAAAAGAAAATGAAACATTGGATTGATGATTTCCTGACATTTTACTGAAATTGCTGTCAGTGATAATTAGTCAGGTTTAGTCATCCTGCAAAGTGAACGCTGGGCACGATGAATTCTTCAATCATTTCCAATAGATGCTTCCCAATCATAACCACGATTTCAGGCTCCATCCCCAGAGTTCATTAGTTTATGCATCAAAATGTATTGTTCCCCTTGTATAAAATTGCTAATGGTAAATTTCTCTATGCACTTTCAGAAAACACATTTTTTCTCCCCACAAATTAGAAGTAGGGGAGCGCGACGCACGTATTTCAATTCTTGATGGCAAACAAACATAGAGGGAAGGGACAGTGCAAATTTGCACCTTACTCAGAACGACTAGATTAATTTTTTTGAGAAACAACAGTTACCTTCAGTGTTCATGCATTCACAAAAAGACAGTGTCCCTGCTGGTCAAGAACCCAGGTTGTGGAGTCAGTCTGAAGCCTGGTGACTTCCCCTGGGAAACTTACTGAACCTCCTTCACACTCACTTCACTCATCTAGTCAACAGAGATCAGGAACGTGCCAACCTCAGAAGTCATTGGGAGAAAGTGCACCCACGTCTAGGCCAGTGTCCGAAACACAGAAGATGCTCCCGTTTAGTGGCTGTTTATCGCCCCGTCGCTCCCCAACAAGGAAGGGTGTGTGCAAACTCTCAGGCCTCTACCCAGACTCCACGCGCCCACTGTGGGAAAACAGGGCTGGACTGAAGCTGCAAGAGAAAACTCCTGCTAACTGTGCAGACTGAGTGCCATGGAAAGAGCGAATGGCAGCACCTCCTCAGGATTCCTCCTCCTGGGCTTCTCCGACAGGCCTCAGCTGGAGACGCCTCTCTTTGTGGTCATCCTGATGGGCTACGTCCTGAGCTGTCTAGGCAATGGCACCATTATACTCCTGTCGCTGCGGGACCCTCGCCTGCACACCCCCATGTATTGCTTCCTCTCCAACCTCTCTTTCATGGACCTGTGTCTGACCACCTGCACCGTCCCTCAGACTCTGGCCAACCTCAAGGGGCGGGACAAGACTATCACCTATGGCGGCTGCGTGACCCAGCTCCTCATTGCCCTGGGGCTCGGGGGCGTGGAGTGTGTGCTCTTGTCGGTCAT